CTCCAGGATTTCCCTGAGAGCCCCGGTTCAGCCCTGCAGGGTCCCTCCCCAGGAGCTCACCCTCCCGTTGATGTCCAGCTCCGTGGCCTCGCTGCGGCTCACCCCGCGCTCCAGCCTCTCCCACACCAGCTTGGCATCATTCCTGGCACAGCACTGGTACAGGCTGAGGAACCCATCCCCGCCAGCCTCGGGGGACACCTCGTAGCAGGGGTACACCGAGTCGTCAGAGAAGATGCTGCTGCTGTCCGAGGGCTCCGGGGATCCTGAGGATGTTTCCTCCTCTTCCTCCTCCTCCTCCTCATAGTGCAGCTCCGGGTCAGAGGCATCCAGGCTGGCGCTGGGAGCCGCAGCAGGTTCTGCTCCTCTGCAGGCATCTGTCATCCGGCCCAGCCCTGCCCGGGTGGCCGAGGGGGCACTCGGCACTGTCACTGCCCTGTGCCGGCACAGAGGGGTGGCACCAGCTGGGGTGGCACGGTTTGCCTCGGGTACCTCGGGTCTCTCCCTATAGATTTCTTCCCCAGGTGTGTCGGCCACCTCTCCCTCCCTCCCCCTCCATTTGGTTTGGGCTTATTTTGGTTTGGCTCCATTTTGGGTTTGAGTCTATTTGGGTTTGGAGCCATTTTAGTTTGGGTCTGTTTCGGTTTGGATCCATTTTGGTTTGGGCTTATTTTGGTTTTACTCCATTTTGGGTTTGGATCTATTTTGGTTCGGGTCTATTTGGGTCTGGGGCCGTTTTGGTTTGGGTCCATTTTGGGTTTGGGTCCATTTTGGTTTGGGGCCATTTTGGTTTGGGTCCATTTTGGGTTTGGGTCCATTTTGGTTTGGGGCCATTTTGGTTTGGGGCCATTTTGGGCTTGGGGCCATTTTGGTTTAGATCCATTTTGGGTTTGGGGCCATTTTGTTTTGGGCTTATTTTGGTTTTGCTCCATTTTGGGTTTGGGTCCATTTTGGTTTGGCTCCATTTTCAGTTTGGCTCCATTTTGATTTGGATCCATTTTGGTTTGGCTCCATTTTCGCTTTGGATCCATTTTGGTTTGGGTCCATTTTGGTTTGGGCTTATTTTGGTTTGGATCCATTTTGGTTTGGATCCATTTTTGTTTGGCTCCATTTTGGGTTTGGGGCCATTTTGGTTTGGCTCCATTTTCGGTTTGGCTCCATTTTAGTTTGGGCTTATTTTTGTTTGGGTCCGTTTCAGTTTGGGCCTATTTTGGTTTGGCTCCATTTTCGGTTTGGCTCCATTTTGGTTTAGATCCATTTTGGCTTGGCTCTATTTTGGGTTTGGGGCCATTTTGGTTTGGGCTTATTTTGGTTTGGGTCCATTTTGGTTTGGGTTTATTTTTGTTTGGGTCCGTTTCAGTTTGGGCCTATTTTGGTTTGAATCCATTTTGGTTTGGCTCCATTTTGGTTTGGATCCATTTTGGTTTGGCTCCATTTTGGGTTTAGGGCCTATCAGCTTTTGCCTCACCACGCTGTAGATGCTTTAAATCTAATTATCTAAAGTTTCCCCTCGTGGCTCCCACTACACTGCATCTTTCATAGTTCTTTCTCCAAAATATCCAATATTATTTGCCTCCACACCCTTACTCCAGTGTTTTCATCCTCTGTGAGGATTTATTCCTCCACTACAGTTTGTAATTTCCAGTCTCTGAATTCTATTAATGAGGAATTTAATTTAATTTTTGATCTCTGAATTCCATTAATGAGGGATTCATTCCTCTACTACAGTTTTGTAATTCTTAATCTCTGAATTCCATTAATGAAGAATTTAATTTAATTTAATTTTTAATCTCTGAATTCCATGAATGAGGAATTCATTCTTCTACTACAGTTTGTAATTTTCAATCTCTGAATTCCATGAATGAGGAATTCATTCTTCTACTACAGTTTGTAATTTTCAATCTCTGAATTCCATTAATAAGGAACTTAATTTAATTTGATTTCCAATCTGTGAATTCCATGAATGAGGAATTTATTCTTCTACTACAGGTTTATAATTTTCAATCTCTGAATTCCAT